GCTCCTTTTGATCAAACAAGTATTTCAAACTCTTGTGATCGCTGAATACTGCCGGATCGGGGAGTACTAACACCGGAGCAGTCGTCAACTTCCTTAAGGCTCTGGAAGCATTCTTCACATTCCTGCGTCCAAATAAAGGGAGTATCCTTCCGGGTCAAATGGGTCAATGGCAACACCATGGCCGAAAATTCTTTAATGGATCTCCGGTAATAACTAGCCAAACCCAGAAAACTCCTTATTTCCGTTACAGTCTTGGGTCTCTCCCAATCAACAACTGCCTCTATCTTGCTAGGATCAACCGCCACTCCATCAGCAGAGATAACGTGACCCAGAAATTGCACTTGAGAAAGCCAAAACTCACATTTAGAAGGCTTTGCATACAACTGTTTCTCTCGGAGAATTTGCAACACAGTCCTCAAGTGACCTTCATGCTCTTCCTTACTCTTGGAATATATCAGGATATCATCAATAAACACAATCACGAATTGATCCAGGAACGGCTTAAATATGCGATTCATGTAATCCATAAACACCGCCGGAGCATTAGTGAGTCCAAATGGAATTACTTGATACTCATAATGTCCATATCTAGATCGGAAGGCAGTCTTCAGAATATCTTCCTGCCTAATTCGAATTTGATGATAACCCGACCTCAAATCAATCTTTGAGAACACACAAGCACCCCTCAACTGATCAAGCAAATCATCTATGTGAGGGAGAGGATACTTGTTCTTAATGGTAACCTTATTCAACTGACGGTAATCAGTGCACAATCTCATGCTACCGTCCTTCTTCTTAACAAATATGACTGGTGCTCCCCACGGGGACACACTAGGCCGGATAAAATCCTTAGCCGAAAGCTCTTCAATATGCTTCTTTAACTCGGCTAATTCTGGTGGTGACATCCGATACGGAGCCAGAGAGATAGGCCCCACACCAGGCAATAGATCAATCGTGAACTCAATCTCTCTATGAGGCGAAAGTTGTGGAATTTCATCTGGAAACACATCCACAAACTCCCTCACCACGGAAATAGTGTCAATCTCCTCATGACTTCCGCCTACTAAACCCCCCACAAAGACATATCCCAATGCCCCGGCCCTCAAAGCCTTTCTAACCTGCAACACAGATAGATATGAGGAAGAACTAGTAGCAGAATCATCAACATCAAGCACAATCCTTTTACCACAGCAGTCTATCATAGCACAGTTCTTTGACAACCAGTCCATACCCAAGATAACTTGAAGGCTTATCATAGGTAAACAAATAAAATCCAGCACGTAATCTCGGCCTTCATATTTGAACTCAACATCTTTACACAACACAGACGTATAACACTCATCCCCAGTAGCAGTAACCACTTTCATTGGAGGACGAATGTCGTACATTTGCAGATTTAGCCCAACGACCATAAAATCAGACATACAGGAGTGTGTAGCTCCTGAATCAAACAACACTTCAACATCTGTATTATCAATATAAATTGTACCTTTCACTAGATTCGGAGCCTTCTCCGATTGTTGACGGTCCATGGTATATACTCTACCAACCGTCTGAGACTCTAGCATAGGTGGAACAACAGAGACAGGAACAACAGTAGCTTGAACTGCCATAGTCCTCGCTTCGTTCTGAGGACACTGCCTGGAATAGTGACCGGATCTTCCACATTTGAAACAGATCACTTCACCGGTAGCACACAGACCTCTATGCTCCTTGCCACACCCCCTGCACTTGGGAGGAGGTCCTCTATCAACAAAATTCTTCTGAGTCCCGGGATTTTTGAACAAGTCAAAGGGCCTATTCGCATTTAGCTTCTTGCCTTGCATCTTTCTGTTCTTCCAATAACCTGAGCCCGTTGCTTTATTGGCGTTAGATGCCTGGGCCTCAGAGGACTTCTTGGTTTGGGACACCTTGTACACTTCTTCTACCTTCCTGCACTGATTTACAAACCGACTAAACTCTCGGATGTCACAATTTGACATCTTCCGAGACATCTTCTCATTAAGACCCCATTGGAACTTGGAGGTCATTTCAGCCGGAGTGGGTAAGGCTCGCCTATAGTTGGCGTATTTCACCAACTCATTAAACTTACTAAAGTATTGGTCAATAGACATCGACCCTTGCTTGAGATCGTTGTACTCATTCTGCTTCTGTTCCCTAGCTTCTCTAGGGAAATAGTTATCCAAGAACAATGTCTCGAACAACCGCCATGTGATTTCCCGGCCTTCAGCTTCTAGGGGCTGTACGGTATTAGTCCACCAATCCTCCGCTTCTTCTTCCAGCATGTACACGGAGTAGATTAACTTCATTGCATCAGGGCATCTCATCACCCTGAAGATTTTCTCCATCGCTTGGAGCCATTTTGCAGCCGCCATTGGCTCATAACCTCCCTTATATGAAGGAGGTTTGTGCTTTCGGAAAGCCATCAATCTTCTTTCCTCCACTTCATGGTCACCGACATTCTCAACTCGAGGTTGACGAACCTCAGTGTGCTGACTACGACTTCCAGAATGGTGACTACCCTCACCTTCATTGTTACCCACTACACCCTCTTCCTGTGAGGGAGGTGGAGAAGGCGTAGCAGTGTGAGGAGGAGGAGTGGGTTGCCGGTTCACGGGCCTAGGACCCCTCAACGTCCTCAACTCAGTCATCATTGCGGCCATGGCAGTCCGCGAGTCTTCATTTGTTTTCATTAGATTCTCATTGGCTTGCCTGCTAGCAGCCAACTCCCTCTGAACGGCTGCAAGAGCTTCAGCCACGGGATCAGGCTGTACGCCCGTTGCCCCACGGCCACTTCTAGGCCTCACAAGAGCAGCCAAAACAGGTTCTGGCTGAGCATTGGTGTTTGATGGTCCGGGGTTGTTTCGATGCCTCGTCATGTCACTACACATGTTACACAAAGAAGTGAGTTGATCAGGCCCACACTTAGTGATCACAAATGCAATAATCATAAAGAGTACTAAAACAACTATAAAGCATCAAACACTAAGCATACTCAACAACAGCTAACAGGTATTCCCTACGAAACTGCTCTGATACCATAAAATGTAACACCCCGTTCTAGAACCGGATTGTTATCATTGCGTACGACATTAAGCGCAGTTACAATCACATTGGTTCAATTAGAAAACCGGATAAATTTTTCCTTTTTAAACAAGCCGGATTTAAATTACCAAGTGCGTGATCATAACTATATATACTTCGCGGAATAGTGGGACTAAACTTAATATTATATTCCTATTCTACTTGACAATACGTCGTTAAATGTCTTCATCACTTTAATTATCAAATTAATTCTAAACTTGTTTTATGATTCCCATCTTCTACTATGTTATAGGATTCTTCATTAGCTACGTGTGGGTTCAAACCGCGCTCAAATCGGAGCACCGTAGCCAAAGTTATGCATTTTCTAAGAAAAGGGTGCGAAACCTCCAGAACCCTCGCGCCCGTAGCGTAAGATCCACGCCCAGAGCGTGGGAAAACAGAAAGTTGACGCCCCAAGCGTGGATCTGGCGCCCCAAGCGTGGATGCTACTGTCTGATCTCGTAATTTGGCGCCCCAAGCGTGAATCTGACGCCCCAGGCGCCATTCACAGGGCTGGGTGACCCAAAACAAGGTCATTTAACCTACCTAGGGTTTTCCACTCATAACTTGAGCTATACTCACTCAAATTACACCATTTTGGTCTCTATGGAAAGCTAAGAGAAATGTATACAACTTCCATAGAGACATCAAAGTCCAATTCCATCACATTGGGTGTGAAAATTGGTCAAACGGACATGATGTATTTGTTTTCTCAACATTTCCCAATTTAGCACTAGGTACCTAATTTATTCTCAGCCCAACCAATTCAATAACTCAATACATAACAAGCATGCATATATTGAATTTCAAGTAGGCATCATTTACATTACATAGCCATTACAAATCATGGAACTTAGCTTACAAAACACTATGATCATTCCCTTGGCTCCCATCAACAAAAGAGATGACCAAAGGCATGAGCATAGGCTAAGTCCATTCCAATATACAAATCATAAATCTAGCATTGCCTATTCATTTAATTCTATACATGTGAGCTACAAAACAACATGTACAATCTCAAAAGAAATGCCACTTTTCATGCATAATCCAGATATGGCCACTTTCCACCAGAGGCTCCTGCAACATCCTTACCTGAAAGGGGGTCCCCACAACACGGGGTGAGATATACGAATATATCCAGTAAACCAGGGGTCCTTGGAGCATCTCTCCACCCCACAGTTCCATATCAGTGTAATAGCAATAACAATAATAATGCAGTAAATACATATCTATGCAAAGTGCAATACATCTCCAGGAGAAATCCCTCGAGCTCTCAAGCTGTCCTAAGGAAACTCAGATGCAAATAGTCCTACTGGCCAGCTACTACCAAGTATGATTTACGCATCGTCATGCAACATACCAACATAGGGAAACACCATCCTATGCCACACCAAATGCATACACATACGTATAACAAAGCATTACACTATTTTATTGCATTTATATACACAATCACAACCTCTACCCTTTCAGGGCTTGGTAGAACAGTCAAGGGAATTACACCCAAGGTCCGAAGGCTTACCTCAATGCTTCAGTCGACCTTTGTTCTTCACCAACAGTTTCAGCGATCAACTTTTACAAATATACACCTATACAAGGGTAATGCAATTAACATATTGCATTCAAGGATAACTCATCATCATCAATCCAAACTATCCTATTCATACCACAACACAAGGATGAACTTACCTATTTCAAGGACTAATCCATCTCCATTGCTTGCTCCAAAGGTTGGTCAATTAAGGTTGATCCAATTGCCTCAATCCTAGACAACACAAGGATACAATCAATGACCAACCAAACAATGGTTCAACAATGCAAGAAAACTCATAACCAAGTGTCATATTCTTGCAATCTTCCAAATATAAGCATTTAGCTATCTAAGCTCATTATCACCGATTAAATGTCGTTCATAGCATTTTTCACAACATGCTCAAGCTCCATTCTTCCTAGAACATAGCTAATTTAACAACATTTCATCAAAATCCCTAAAACACTATTCATAAACCCTAACTCATGCAAATTTCAAGAAATCATGAGGTTCAAGGGTTAGAATCTTACCACCAATGGTCACTCAACCAAGGATTGATGGCTCCTCAAGCTTCAATGGAGGTAGAAACTCTCAAAACCCCAATTTTCACCAAAGGGCCAAATTTTTGAGAGCCAATATCTCACCACACAAAGCTCCCCACTTAAAACTAAGCTTGGATTATGAAAGAGGGCGAGATTCTAAGCGATTTAGGCTTTTGAATCACCCAAAACCGTTGGGATTTGCTCCCTCCTCCTCTCTCTTCTTCTCTCTCCCTTTCTCCTCCTTCTCCTTCTTCTTCCTTTCTTCTCTGTTTCTGTCGACGGGAAAGTGGGGGGTTTGGGGCTCATTTTGGCTTTTAGTCACTTAACATAGGTTAAGTGGCTTTAAGCGGGTATTGGTTCGTCTATCTATTCAACTCCAATAATTACCAAACTTTACCCAAAAGTCGGGAATATTATTCTAGGAATATTACTATTTTTATTTTTATATTTTGGGTACTTTTGCCAGTACCCATTTATACCCCTTAATTTTCACTGAGTACCCTTTTTAACTCCAAAGTGACTCAGATTCATTTAATTAAGCCTTATACTTAATTTCACTCAGTAAAACATGCTTAATTAATTAATTACACTTGATTTACTAATTAGTTAAGATGGACTATTATAGGAACGATAACTGGGACTCACAAAAAGCCCTATATTACCTGTTGGCGCGTATACTTGCGCGCATACTTGCATAACTGTTAGCAAGACAACAATGAATAACTGAGCATGATCTTCACCAAGTCTAAAATGTTTGATTTTTAAATACTGCAACTTCATTCAACTAACGCGTTCTTAGAATTGACAGTTACGAAAACTATCCCCTCTTAAATCAGGTAAGACCTGAACTTACCATACAGGTAACCAACACTTTAGTCAGACCAAAGTGTTTTGATTTGAACACCTACATGTTTTTCTGCCTCAGACTTAAACCTCTTGGAAATTTCCAAAAGCTTTAGACTTACAGCGCATTTGGTTCATCTGTCCAAATCCAGAGTAAACATTCATATAATGAAGTACTCATCACCTCTTCTGGTCTGAACGCTAATTGGTCCACATACATTAGTATGTACCAGTTCCAGTTGAATAGTTGCGCAAATATTTTGGCCCCTTGTAGGATTGCTTGGCCATTTTACCTTCCAAAATAGGACTAACATGTAGCTTTTAGTTAAAAGATTCTTGAACTTTCAGTCCCTCTTTTAACTAAATCATGTTTTCTACTTGAGGTGATGTGACTCAATCACAAAGGCCAAAGTTATATTTCATTTGAAACTTTTATTTCTTTGGTGAAAATCCTTGTTCATTATCCTTTCCATTCAACATAATAAATTAAATAGGATATATAACTCAAGTAATAAAGACAATTTAATATTCCGGAATAGAAGAAGATGAACTTCTTGTTGAAACTGAAGAATTAAATTGTACTATTAAACCATGTTTCCACAAAACAACTAACACAAATAAAATTCCTCTTAAAATCTGGAATAATTAAATAGTCATCCAAAACTAAAGTCATAAATTATCAAAAGATAAAATAACCTTTTCTATTGCTAATGCAAACACAAGCTCCCCATCTTCAAGCTTAAAATATCTTTGTCCAATGGTAATTTTCTATGGTGAAAGAATATCCCATAAGCTTACACACATATTTATGCTGTTCTAATGTTTGAATAGTCGATCTGCCCCAAAAGCTCCTTGATACTTCTATGATCAGTTTTGATTGTGAAGTATACTCCCAAGAGGTATTGTCTCCATCGTTTTACTGCTTATGCTATAGCATATAATTCCTTAACATATATTGATGTTGCAACTAATCTGGGACCAAGTCTTTTGCTGAAAAATGCCACTGGTTTCTATTGTTGAAGAAGCATTGCTCCTATACCTGTGTTAGAAGCATCAGTTTCCAAAACAAATGGTATTTGAAAATCCGGTAATGTTAAAATAGGAGTACTGGACATAGCTAATTTCAATTGATCAAATGCCAATTGTGCTTCTGCAGACCATTTGAAAGCTCCTTGTTTCAATAGATCGGTTAATGGGGCAGCAAGGGTAGCATACTGCCTTACAAATCGACGATAGTATCCTGTTAAGCCTAGGAAACCCCTAAGCTGCTTGACCGATTTAGGACTTGGCCATGACATCATTGCTTCAATCTTCTTGCCATCTGCCTGCACCCCCAGGCGAGACACTCTATGCCCCAAATATTCAATATTTTCTACTCCAGAAGCACATTTGCTCATTTTGACAAAGAACTTATGCTGTCTCAAATAGTTTAGTGTTATTCCTAATGTTGAGCATGATCTGATAAGGAAGAGCTATAGACTAAGATATCATCAAAGAACACAATGATAAATCTGCAAAGATATGGTCGAAATAACTGGTTCATAACAGCTTGAAACATGCTTGGGGCATTCGTCAAACCAAATGGCATGACTAGGAACTCATAGTGTCCCTCATGAGTCCTAAAAGCTATTTTTGGAATATCATTTGGCAGAACTCTTATATGATGGTATCCTGCCCTTAGATCCAATTTAGAGAATATGGTTGAGCCACCTAACTCATCCATCAGCTCATCTATAGTAGGCATTGAAAACCTATCTCGAATAGTGAGCTTGTTTAGAGTCCTATAATTCACACACATTCTCCAAGTATTGTCTTGTTTCTTTACCAACAAAACTGGAGAAAAATAAGGACTATTACTGTGTTGAATGAAACCGGATGACAACAAATCATCTACCTGTTTCTCTATTTCTTCCTTCTGGTGATGTCTGTACCTATATGGTTTTACATTAACTGGCTTTGACCCTTGTTCTAAATGAATAACATGGTCCATGTTTCGAAAATGGGGTAACTCTTTGGGTACTAAGAACACTGATTGATTCTCCACTAAAATGTCCCACAACACTTGATTTATAGAAGGTTTGATAGCTAATAATTTAGGAAATACCTCGTTATCCCAATCTGTGTTGGTATTCTCTTCTGCCAGGTACCGGCATTCCAATTGAAAAACATCCGCCTCTTGGTTTTCTCCTTGTTTTGAGATACCTTGCAGCAACACATTTTTTCCCTTCCAACCGAATTCCATGGTTAAGTTTTTATAATCGTGAGTCACTTTTCCAAGAGACTCTAGCCACTTCATACTAAGAATCAATCTCACCTTGGATAACTCTAACACCCATAAGTCTACTAGGAACTGTTGCCCTTGTAACTGCAACTGAATTTGCTGACATTTGTGATCACAAGTGAGAAATTCCCCATTACCAAGGAAAACCCGCATTTTCTTTACTCGAACCATTGGTAATCCTAACTCCAATGCCAACTCCTTCTGGACAAAATTGTGAGTGCTGCCTGTGTCTACCAAGGTGTGGATCCCCTTACCACCCACTTCTACCATGAAATAAAAAGCCTTGGAATTAGAATTACCAGAAAGGGAATGCAGAGAAGCATCTTCTCGTTCTATTGAGTTTAATGTTGAGTTCCATACTATTTCCTCCTCCTCATCTCCATCTTCTTCTGGATCATCACCTAACAACAAGAGCATTTTACTTCTACATCTGTGTTTGGACGTCCATTTTTCATCACAGGTATAACAAATACCCAATTCCCTCTTTTTAGCCAACTCCTCATTCGACAGCTTCTTAATTGCTATGTTAGACATGTGAGTCTTCCCTCCTAAGGTTGGAGCAGTAACTGGAATGGTTGGTGACAGGCCTGTTGCAACTTGTCCTCCATTGCTTTATTATTTGGAGACCAATGATTTTGAACCTTTATAACACCAGAATTCAAAGAAACACGTAATTCAGAAAAATGAGAATCATACACTGTTGCGAGATGCATGGCTTGTTGTAAAGATTTGGGTTCGTGAATCTCGATAGCCCTCCTCACTTCAGCAGTAAGTCCGGACACAAAGAAACACATTAATAACCCATCACTCAAACCTGAAGTTTGATTCATCATCTTCTCAAACTCATACAGATAGTCCTTCATTGACCCATTCTGAGATAACTTGGAAAGAGCTTCTGTCAAATTGTTCTGTGGAGCTACCCCAAATTGATGTCGCAGCTCTACTGTGAATTCGGACCACAACCTAATCGATCCACTTTTGTATTTCCATTGGAACCACGAAGATGCAGAGCCCTCAATCCTCAAGCCTGCTAATTGAACTTGCAGCTCTGTCGGGATCCTTTGCAATTCGAAGAAAATCTCGGTCTTAAAGATCCAGTTATCTGGATTCGTTCCATCGAACAACAGAATTTCCATCTGCGCAAACTTCAAAACGAACGTGGATCCACAGTTCCCACTCCATCGGAGGAACCTGACCCATGGCTCTTCCCTACCGCCGATTGTGTTGTCTCCATTTGTGATGATTCCGGTGTTGGCTTCTCCTTTGTATGTAATGCTCCTATCGATTCATTTAATTGCTGCATTTGTGCTATCACCAATGCGATTTGACTCTGAGACTCATCAGATCGATGTTGTAAGGATGATACTTCCTGAGCAAGTTCTTGAATCTTCATGACTAGAGCTCACGGGAATAAAGCAGCAGTGTTAGATCTCTCTAATTCAGAGAGAAAGTTTCTGAAAACAAAAAGGAACAATGAACGATTTTTTTTATTGAACGAATCAAATCAGTTTACAACTTTTGTATTTATACAACACATGTCCCTTTGACTCGTACTTCCTACCATGTGTACTTACAAATGGCATATTCTCCTAACTATATTTACAACACATATTCTCCTATCTTCTATTTAATACCAGATCACTTAACAATAGAAATCTCTCAGCTTTGAAGAAGGGACTCTTTCCCTACCTGCTCTGCTTGCAGTTGCTACTCCTTTCTCTAACAGTACCCTTCCTTCATTTATTATTTTCTTATTTATATAAAGATTGTTGTAACATAATATCCTAATTAATAAAGGAGAATAGAAAACCAATATCAAAAGAAGGAAAGAAAGGCATAAATACAAATATGATAAGGGTTTGAGATAGGTATGAATCTAAGCTTTTGCATAAAAAGCCATTCTGGGATACATTCTTGCGGTAGGGAAACATAATTGGATGAGCATAAACACCATGACAAAAAGAAGCACAAATGAAAGGAAAATGTAGGTATCTTGGGACAATAATTAAAGCAATGATATTTGTAAATTGTAATTCACTGTATTGAAGTATTCGACATTAAGACAGCATAGGATTATTACATGTCATAATTACGTATAACGTTTTAAAAGTTTGGGTGTGACTCTGTGTGAGTTAATTTATTTTTTAATTTAATTTAATACATTAATAGTATAAAAAAGTAATTTTGCGCCATAATAAACTATAGGATGTCATTTATTCAAAAAAAAAATATTAAAGGTTGTTTTTTTTTTTTTTGGTAAGAGTTAAAGGTATTAATTGCTAGCGAAAACCTTCATTCTACAACAGTGATGATGCGATATTTGAATTTATTATTTACTGGGACATTATAAATATTTAAAGATTTTTATAAAATGATTTCGTAATAATTTTTAATTAAATTACTTATTCCATGTCAAATATTAATAAAAAAATTATAAATTTATAAAAATAAAAACATAAATTTAAGTAATAAGCACAAGATATTTATTATAAATCCTTGTACATTAAATATCATTAAACTTCTACGAATCACTATTAAAAACCCTGCAGTTTTTTCTAATCTCTCCATCTTTTCCAACCAAAACATCAATGCTTCCCATCTTTATTATAGCATCCGCAAAGCTTTGCTGAAAATCTGCATCATTTTGCGCAAGAGCTGAGACTAAGCCACTGGAGGAAGGATCCAAAGCAAGTTGTTGATCAATGAAAAGCACTCCTTTTTTCAAAAGGATTTGGTTGTAGAACTCGTTGTCAAACACAAAAGAAGTGTTTTGATCCAAAAACACCGTGTGATCCTTGGCTGACCCACATATCTGCACGAGCTTAGCACGCAAAACAGGATCTATTGGAAGAACGGAGAGTCTCATTTGAATGAAACTACAGTGAGAAGAACCAACAGTGTGTGCTCCCAAAAGGGTAATCATTTCACTCAGTGTCATGTTCTTTTCGACAAAAGATTTCAATGCCTCTGGCACTGTAGAACCTGGCGATGGAAGGTTCACTTCAGAAGGATTTGATACCAGCCCATCACGCCTACCAGTGAGAACACTGTATCTTGGTCCTCCGGCCATAGCCACAGCATCTCTTGTTGCAAGTGTTATGATATCAGCACATGAAACCGTTGAAGGACATTCTTTTTCCAAGGCTGTCTTTATTTCATCAATGAGTTCATATCCCCTTACGCTTTTGTTTGCAGGTGCATCTTTCTCTGATTTGTTGCCCTGTGTTGGGTCTATTAATATTGAGGCATCACAACCCTGAAAACCAATTTGTTAATAAGAAGAAAAAAATTAGTTTTTGTAAGTGGAAACTAATTAAGATGATGAAAATTATAAGTATTTCCTTTGTTCATAAACCATGATCGGTTGCCGGCTTTTTAGCAAATGAGGCTACATAGCAGGTTGAAGGCTTCATATACAAATTTGAGACCTTTGGAACTAATTGATTTCTCTCACAAGCATCATTCTATACAAGCATTGGTTAAAACTATACATCGCGTTTGGTTGATGAAGTTGCAACATGAATCCCCTTCACTTTTTGGGACAAATCAACAGCTTAAATGAAGGAAATTCCATTAAGGCCTAGTAGGAACTTTATCATAACGAATTGTCCAAAATCATAACAGAAAAGCTCAAAAATTAATCCCGACAATGACTATAACCATAACTTAAAATAGTACATTATGTGGGTCTTACTCTGACAAAACAGTCATGGAAGTGCATTCGAAGCAGGGCTCCTGTAATGAATTTTTGACTTTTGAAATTCCTCTGAACCACTTGATGAACAATTTCCTCTGCTGTTGGGCAGGTTGGGGCATAGAATCCAATCTCTAGTTTAGCAAATGCAATGGGAAGGACAAAGAAGAATGTAAGAATGGCGAACTTCATTTTTGTGTATGTCACAGTGTTAATTGGTTCTATCTTTGTTTTTTGAGTGTGTTTCTTAACAATGGAGACCATATATTTATATGTAGTGTGTGCGCTGATATGGGACCCGAAAGAGATTCAATGGTGTATAGTTTAACTGGTATTTCTTATTTGTATGCATAAAGGTTAGTTGTTACGTGTGAAAAGAATAACCTATAGTGAGAGGTTACAGAGTTTCGAGTAAGGATATG